GACAGTTTAGTGGTGGACCTGGCAGTGTTAGATTAATGGTTGGACTTGATCTTAAAGGTTCTTTTCAAAATAAATGATTCTATGATTCTGCATTTTGTCCCTGTCCAGAAAAGTCTTCTGGTTCATGCTGTTGCTTAACTAGAGAATTTCAGTTCTAAAAACCAGTTGACATGGAAAATGTTTTTGTTGAGGTATCTGTGTGAAGGCTCTAGAATCAATTTCTCTGAAGGGTGTTTTAAAGGTTGTAGTAAAATGAAGATGTACAAAAATTAGTGCTGTATTTTAGTAACATTTTTCTTTTGAGGCACTACAGATTCTTTCAAAATGTGTTATAGCTTCCTTTGTGTGCAGATCCTGTTGTATAGATGATATTAGACATCTTTGAAAAGAAAAATGTACCTTTGACACCATGGTGATTTTATACAAAATTTGTTTCACAGGAGAAATGGTAAGTGGTTAGGCATTTCTGCAATATTCTGTTTCAATGTTTTCTGGATTAAATATGTCATGTTTCCCTTCAAAACAACTTATCACAGTGCAACATAAAATATGAAGACTGAATAAGAAATATTTAAATTGTGACAATACTTAAAATACTGAAGTGGTGTCTTTCTCTTTTTATAGCCCCTGAAGTACTTAAACCAAAATTCAGAAGAAACATCTATTTACTTGGTGAAAAAAACCTCACCCCACCCCTCAAAATCTAGTGCTGGATTTGTGCTATCATGTATGGTACATCATGGTGTAGCCTCCATGATGTTAATTTTCATTTTTCTTAAAAGTCTGAGTCTTGTGAGTTCACTGTAGCAAGGTGTTATCATCCTTGTCCATTCCATTTATTTCCTTCCATGTGATGAGGTCAACTACATATTTTTTAAAAAGAAAATACATTCAATGGTTTCATGTGCTGTTTCCATGGAACACAGGCCCAGAAATTTTATTGTAGTGCATTTTGATATATTTTGTTTCATTCTCAATCAGAGAACAAAACCAAATGTTAAAAGCTTGTGTGAAATACACTTTTCCTCTGCAGGCTGTCTGTAAGTGTTTTCAAAATACATTAAGAAGAATCTGGCTGAAAAGATTATCGTTACCATACCAATTTTGTCAGTTGTCTGAAAATAAGTGTTTTGAGTATTAGATCTACATTGCTACCCATGAGTGTACATATCCATGAGTGCACAGCGACAAAACTTATATTTGTTTCTACAAATTATGTCCAGACAGTAGCTATTTTGTTCATCTGTTAAATATATCTCTGCAAGGCTGAGTAAACGAACAGCATAGATGCCCTTTGGCAACAAGAATGATAAGTGGCTTCTATGGTCCCTCCAGTAGAGATCAAACTGACAAGAAGCAAAAGGTGGAAAACATAATGAATCTAACCCATGTATGTGTTAGATTTTGACATGCTTGTCTATACATCAATCAATAAGATTGCACCTCAGAGGAAGAGAAAACTAACAGCACTCAGAGATGCTACTTGAGGAGACTGTGGACGTCACATTGCAGTCTTTCCTTACATCTGCATAATCACTTGCAGCTCAAAAAGGGAAAAGGTAAGAGCTAGAAGAGAGGAAGTTTTCAGTTCTATTGAAATTCTTATTTTGTGTCTGGTATGAGAAAAATATCTATTACAGTTTTTGTATCTATCACTAAGATGTAAGCTTGGGAAAATAAAGTAGTGCTCTAGTGAGTAGAGGTACATAAGTTGTTAAATACTTTCTTGATACATATGTTTGCTAGCCCAGTTTTGTTTCTGTAGGTACAATCCCTGAAGGGTAAAGACAAGACAGACTACAGCTTGTCTGTAAAGGTAGGGAATGAAGGTATGCAGCTGGATACTGAGAATCAGAATCATGAAACTGATTTCTGTGACCAAACTACTTTTATAGAAATTCAATATAATAATCAGAACTTATCATGTTGGAAACTAAAATTAACACCTAATAAAATGGCTATTTTTAAAAGCATAGAGAAGAGAAAGCCATACCTCAAAACCTTCCCTCTTAACAGTCGTTATAGGTTGGGTAATCATAGATACCCCTCAACCAAGATGATTATCGCTGAATTGGCTCACCTTGCTTAATTAAGAAAAAAAAAAAGAAATTTACCCAAATATCTAAATCAAACAAAAAACAAAACCAAAATACATATTAACCCCCCCATTTTTTACTGAGATTGTCAAATCATTTCAGAGAGCCAAGTAATTTTAGACGGCTTATTCAACAAGCTACACATTTCTGTCTCGGTACACATATCATAACATTTGAAATATTAGCAGTCCTATGCATTTGATTAAAATTGTATACTGCAAAGGATTAAACTTTGACAGGACTATTCTATAGCCAGAAAGCAATCTACAGAGAAGATACTAAACCAGTCTATTAGCTGTGCAAGTAATTATCTTCATATGCATTTGTGACATTTTAAAACAGCAGAAAATTTTATTCTACTTATACAGTTCTGAAGTACAGCTGATTAAAAGACTGAGCTGTAAGTATGAAATCATATGCTGTCATTCTAACCCTTTGTACCAAAGAAATGTTTTGTACCAAAACATTCAATACTCCAGTTGGAGGCACCAGTAAAGCATGGATAAGCTTTGGCATCAAATTGATTAAGCTACTCTAATAACACTTATGATACATAAAAAGCAACACAGACAAGTTTTGTACTAGAGGAGATTTGAAAAAAAATAAGTTCACTTAAAAAAGACAAAATATGATGTTTTGAATCAGTCCATTGATGGTTCAAAAAATCTTTAAAACCTAAACCCATTTCAAGCTTCAAAATACTAAACTATTTTACCACTTGGCTAGCTCTGACTCATCTAGAAGCTCACCCTTCTAATGTAATCTTTCTGTGAATATTACAAGTGCTTACTTGTATTTTCTCAGAATTATTTTACGGCAGACGCTGTGGGATTTTTTTTTAAATTTTTGAGTTAATTTTAAAACTATTATTATTAGGATTATCGCAGTTTAGAACCATCCATTCCATACATATCTGTGGTGGTTTGGGCTAGGCCTTCCTTGGTGACCAGTTTGTAACCAAGGAAGGGCCCAGATTTACCCAGTATTCCCTACGATTTTTACGTAAGCCAGACTATAAGAAGAAAGGAGGAGAGGCCTTCGCTCTCTTTCCTTCCGGCGGCTTGGAGGTGCAGGTTCCCTGCTGTTGAGTCTGCTGTGTTGGGGAACGAGGCCTGGTTAGGCCTTGCCGACCTTGGGAGACAGAGGTTGCCGGCCATCATTCCGGAGCGACTCTCGGTTGTCCCAAGGAGAGTAGTGAGCTATTTCTTTGCTAACTCTTTTAGTGGATAGATATTGGGCTGCTAATTGGGATATATATATATATTATTTTGGTTTTGTTCCTTTTCCCTTCCCCCTTCCCGTTCCCTTGTGAAATTGTATATATATTTCAATTGTATATACCTGTAACATAAGTGTAAATATATTTATATATATTTATATATATCACTTTAGCTGTTTCTCTCTCGTTTCGGGTTTTCTTGGTTGTTTTTCTCCCTCTTCTCCCTGAGGTTTTGGTGGGGGGGGACTTCTTGTGGTAAGGTTTGGAGACTTGGCAGGGAGCCAGCTTCAAACCATATGAATATCCTCAAGCATAGTAAACCATACAGGTTCTCTGCTAGGATGGTTACTTTTTATAATATGACTTCATTCATTTGTCTTTATGTTCCTCCATTTAGAAGACTAATGTTAAATACTACGTTCATAAATGATCCCTCTGTCTAGGAAGAGTTACAATGTCTGTTTCTTGGTCATTTACCCATTCTTAATTAATCAGACAAGGAAAAAAATAAAAGAATATTATATATACACATTTCAAACTTACTGTGTCTGCAGACACCCTCTGCCATATCTTGTGATAAAAATGGTGCTCAGTGCTCATTAAAAGCCTTCCTTGACTGTTTCCATGGGGTCCTCTTGTAGGTTCTAATAAATATTGCTTTGTCTTGAACATAAAAAATCCCCATGTATAAACCAAATAGACCCACATGACATGGTTCATACTCTACTCCTTTAAGATCACCCTTGAAAAAAAAAATCAGTGCTGTTTTCATAGTTATGCATTTAGCAAGTAGGTATGGCACTAAAAAAAGCTCTTGGATTTCTGATTCCAGAAATCCTAATTTGACCTATATAGAGGAAATTAATTTTGGATGGAGGATAAATTATCTGTCATTGTTTAATGATGTGTAACCAAAATGAAAAGAACTGTTATTTTTTTCATGCACAGTAAGTACTATGTCTGTTGCCACTGGAAAGTCAGCATTTGCCAGTGGTTACCAACTGTTAGCAGTGGTTAAAGTAGCTGAAGTTATGTAATTTTCTTTGGTAATAACAAACAACATCATCACCAGTGTCTGGTTTTATATGTTCATTCCAATCAAAAAAAGTAATACACTGATAGCAAGATGAGACATTACAAATAAGATACTGTAGTGGAGGTTATTCTGAGATACAGTAAAATGTAGAGAGTTAAACACTGAAAAACAGCAGAGTACTATTGTTGCGGGAATAAATAAGGGACTATTCTGAATCTAGAGATGAAGTGATGAGTAAAATGCCAACAAATTTCTTGGATACTGGTTGAAGCCCACTCCTAATTGCTGTTTATTGAAACCTGAAATGTTACTGCAGACTTTCTTCCAAATCCAAGAATCATTTCTGCTGACTCAATAGAGAAGCATGATCCTAGCTAAGCTGAAACTAGAAATATGGGACAAATTGGCATTTTCACCTTAGGGATGCCTTCACAGTTTGAAACACATAGTAATAGGGAGGTATTTTATAATCAAGAGTTGAGAGTTGACTATAATGACAGCAGCAGGGAAATTGTCAACAGAGAAAAGTAAAATATCAGATAAAAAAGTCTGGTCATATTAGTAAGTTTCTTTTTCATTTTCACATTAAAATATTAATGTGCATTACACACAATTGTGTTTGTTAACATGTACAACAAACCCTTCGGTTGCAATATGTCCTGCAGTACATGCTTTGTATTTACATTACTCGTGGAAAATACTCTACTCCAGCTGAGTAGAATAAACTAAAACAAACAGCTAGGTATTTCAGAAAGCTGTATTAGAGATGCTTCATAATTTCCATATTGTATATTATTTTCTATCGTAGAGTTTTACTACATACATTGTACATAAACTATCTGTTAAATAATGGATCTTTCTTTCTACATATTTCTTTTTAACTTTGTTACAAAATGAAACTTTAATAAGAAAAATTCTAGCTCAAGGAGTGCTGTACTGTCCATTTTAAAGTGCTTAAAAACTCTGACAGCCAGTACTAGCAGAAAATTTGTTAGTAAGAAAAAAAAAAGAAGCAATAAAAATACTCGTGAATGTTGGTAGAAAAAGTTACATTTTCTAAGCTTAATGAAAACTGCATCAACTGTTCATGTTTCTTGACTTCTTCCAGGATGTACTACTTGTTTCCTAGTTTTTCTGAAGTAGTGACTGAACGTGGAATTTGTCCTTAACATAAAATTTGCTTCTGTAATGCATTTAAAAATACTTTTGATATTTCTTTTTGAGTTTTTTTGTGTTATTGTAACAAATGTGTTGATTTCATTCTCTGCTTCTGCTGGTGTGACTTGCGTATAATCTCTTTTGAACATAACAAAACTGTCACACTTTTCTTAACATGACTACCTGCCAATCCAATGCATTGGAAAATCAAACTTTTTCTGGCTTTCTTTATTTATAAATTAAATATCATCAATTTTTAGTATTATATTTTATTTCTGTTGAACACAATGCAGATAGAGTGAAAAAGTAGCCCTTCAGTTTAGTGAGCAATACAAATGTTTAAGTTAATTAATACACATAAATGTTACAATGTGTGTTTTACTGGAACAGATAGAAGTGTTTTGATGGGTATTTGACTGCTTTCAAGAATATCAGTTTAGAAAAAGAAACAATTAATGTTACTGATACCACATGCACCTCAATTCTTACAGATTTCTACAAAAATTGTCATACCATTTGATTTTTTAAGTTCTCTCCACAAGTCACTGCTTTTAAAATATTTGTGTAAGATAATATGGATATATCTAAGCTTCTGTAACTTATGTTTGGGTATAACTTCTTTTTCTGATACAGAAATTGCTATTTTTGCAAATGGACTCAGCTCACAAAAAAATATTAAGGCTATGGATTAAAATGAGAATTTTTGAGAGATTTATTTTCTTAAGATGACTGTGCAATTCAACTTGAGGGTTTTTTTGTTTTGTTTTGCTTTTACAATCTGTTCTTTGCACTGACTAAAGTGCATATTGCTATAAAATGAACAATGTTAGCTCAGTCTCTGCTAATCACCAAAGTCTTTCAGGCGAGTCATTCAACATACCATTACATTACTTTTCCTCTTTGCATTTCTAAGTTTTCCCTGTTAATTCCAAAAACTCTTACTAGAGACAAGAAAAGAAAAAACCACTTTCTAGTCACCAGTGAAATAATAATATGGAATTAGATTTCAATTGAACATATAAAAATTTTCAGCCATTTTTATAAGATAAACATAAAACAAAAAATATTGGGATGGAAAAAGGTACCTTGAAATATGCCATTTATTTTAAAATTATTTTACCTACATTCATCATTTTTTAAAATAAGTAATTAAAAATAATTACAAGGATCTCTTTTAAATAATAAAAAAGACAGATTTTTTAAAATAAATAGTAAAAAAGTATAAAGATAAAAATCTATTGGATTTTTATTACCTGAATTTGACATGAATTAATGAACATTTTTTCTCACTGTAATAGTTTTTAATTTGCTTACTATCACTTAGAAAAATCACATAGGTTTTATCTTTAGTAAAAGAAATTCAGACTCTCATTGATGACAGCTGTCTTAGTCTACGTGACAATTTAACCTTAGCAAATTACAGAAGTCTGTACATTTTTCTAGGATTTTCTAGGGGGATTAAAAGAGGGAATGAGGCCTAGAACAAGAATAGGGGAGATGGGTACTGATATTGTGAATATCAAGTAGTAGTTGCAGAGATTTCCAAATCTGGGACTGGCTGTCCTTTTGCAATGTGGGGAAAGCTTGTTAGGAAAAGACACAAACTGAAGAGTGCCTAGAGAGACTTGGAGTGAAAACTATAAGAGAGTTGGATTAATTTGGGTAGATGATGGATTTAGATATTGGGACTAAAAATGCAACACTGGAAAAAGGTATTTTTGGCAATATGGGAGAATTGTGATGGAGAATAACGATGAATTAGAAGATGACACAAAACAAGGCAAAATGGAACATTAATCTTCAGAAAACAAAAAATTAAAACAGAGGTAAAGGAGTTATAAGAGGATTCAAAAGAGGAAAATGTATACTTCCTGGGAAAGAGTAGAAGAGATTCGTTACAAATAATGATGTTGGGATTAGAGAGTGGGGCAAGGTGGCAATTGAGAAAGAGTTAGAATCTGAAGATAGAAATAAAAGGTGAATATTTATAGTCATTTCTCAAGGAAATTTGGAAGAGTGTTTAAAGATGAAATAATGAGCAAAATAAAAAAACCTTAGAACTGGATTAGGGAGATTTGAGATCCGACCGTGATTTATAGGAATATGCAGTAGATTCTTAGTGTCCGATGCACTGAAAAGTTTTTGAGTTTCATGAACTTCTATCAGAAATAGGTGAGAAAAAGAATGGCAAAATGCCTAAATGCTATTCACATTGTAACTTACTGTTATTTACCTGTTCACTTGGCAAGAGTCATTGTAACAGACAGGTGTCTTTATAAGATATTAAAAAAAAAATAAATCTAATGTTGGAACTGCATTAAAAGAACATAAGAACATACTGCAAAATCAAACTTTGAGAAATGTGAGGTTATAAACTACCTTGAATGTTAATAAAATGATGAAATTGTTTTTTACAAGTGGAATAATATTTTTGCATTTATTTCATTGCATAGGACGGATGTAGATACAGAAAGAAAGATTATGTAGGGACGAAGGTTGTAATTGTTATATTACTTGCTTAAGATCCTGGGAAGCATGCAATGACTAAAGTCTT